CAGAGCACAGGGGAAGAGCCCAAGAGGAAAAGGCCATGGCCTGTATATAGTTCCAAAGTTCACATTCTAAAGAACTTTTAGCTAAGTCCCACATCCTAATAGCCTATTCAGCTAAGAACTCATTGATGAATTAACCCATTAATGAGACTTGCCCTCAAAATCTATTCACCATTCTAGCAATTTCCTAACCTAGTCAAGAGGACAATCAAGATTAACTAGCATGAAATGTGACCATTGTTAGCAGTTTAACTGCTGATAAAGATAAATAAAATAAAATCTTAAAAGCAGCCAGAGGGCTGGGGAATAGGCTCAGCGGTGCTGCTGCCTACTTTGCAGGCGCAAGGACCCAAGTTCAATCTCTGGTATTAAACAAACAAACAAAAAAACAACAGCCAGAGAAAAAGACATGATATACAAAGAAGCAATGTAAGAATTACAACTAGCTTCTCAGCAGAAACAATGGAGGCTAGAAAATGGAATAATATCTTTATTATTTTTACGGCACTGGGGATGAATCCAAGGCTTCTCATGTTAGAGAAATGCTCCATCACTGATCTATACCCTTATGCCTGAATGACATTTTTAAAGATGGAAAGAAAAACCCTTTGATGATTTTTCACTGCCTATCAAATAAATTCTAAGTCCATAATTTTACAACGTTCCTAGTCATCTGCTCCAGCAATATACTATTATTTAATGCCTTTTTATTATCCAAGTCTCTTTATGTAGAAAACCCTTCTCTTTGCCTAAATGCCTGCCTGGCCTGACCACACCTGTCCTCTTCTTGTGGCATGTTTCCCCTTGTTATTGTACACATTTATTGTCATATTTACTATGTTAGTAGTACCTGTTTAAATTTCATTCTATGACATTGGCTTGAGTTTAAAATAGGATTGTTTTTTAGATATACAGTACTTATTGTATTGGACGGAGTGGACCCGTGACAATTTTTTTGTTGAATTAATTCCCATAAATGCATAACAATATTACATCCCAAAATTGCATTTTGTCACCAGGGTCTATAATTTCTCTACTTCATAATTGTGATTTCTTCTTGGTAATTCTTAGGTAGGACATTTTTTATTCTAAATACTCCTGTTTGATAGTGATACTAAACTAGATCATTCCAGTCATAACTATTAATTGTTTCTGGGGAAAAGTCCTCAGACATGGAGGCTCATTTTACCCTTTGTTTTCACAAATTCTCCTTTGAGGTTAAGGTAGTCATCTGCATGTTTTTATCTTAGATATTAGTTGCCAACATCCTTCCACAGCTTTAATTTTTTTTTTTTTTTTGAGACAGGGTCTCATGATATAGTTTAGACTGCCCTGGAACTCACTATGTAGGCCAGGCTGGTCTCTAACTCACAGCAATCCTCCTGCCTCAGCCTCCCAAGTGCTGGGATTACAGGCGTGTGCCACCATGCCCGGCATACAGCTTTAAGTTTTGACCCAAGTTTTGTTGATGCCTTATTCTACTTGGTTTCTTTCTAATAAGCACTAATTAGCAAGCTTGGTTTTTGACTTGAGTTTCCTGAAAGAAGGGAAGAAAAAAAACACTTGCATGTCTGTTTATGTTTGGAAGTTGGGAAGATAGAACAAATGAAACTCTCTAAGACAACTCCTATCCAATAAGAACAAGGACTTTTCTTCTAAATACAATTTTGTATGTTTGTCTACCCTTCCACTCTTTTGTTATTGTTTCCTTCTTTTTATTCAACTACTACACCCCGGTACTGGGAACTAAATGCAGGGCCTTCACACTACACTACATCCTCAACCTTTAAAATTTATTTTGAGATGGTCTAGTTAAGTCATGGAGTGACTCAAACCTGTGTTCCTCCTGCCTCAGCCTTTCAGAGTGTGTGCGTACTACTACAAGTGCCTAACTCTTCTTTTTCATAAATTTTTGGTACAGGATTTTTGTTTGAAGAGTTCTTGGTAAGAATGGATGATGAGGAACCTTAAGGAAAACTCAGGAAAAAACATGTTTGCAGAGAATTAAAACTGTTTATGAAAAATTAATTTAAATTCTCCCTCTGTGATAGTTAATTGTGTCAAATTGAGTAAGAAATGGCTAAGTAATTTGGCTCAGCACAGTTCTGGGTGTAGTAGACCCACTGGAGGGAGGACTATCACCAAAATGATATAAAAGGAAAAGAAGAAGAAAGGATTGCTTCTGGTATTTTTTGAGGAGATTCAGTTTTTGCCTTTACTTTGGACATTGTCTCCTGACTTCCAGTACAGACTCTTCAGCTTCCTGATACGGACTTGCACAGTGAACTCTAGACCTTTGACTGGATCTTTCAATTCTCCAGCATGCACACAATTCTTTTGTACTCTTCCACATCTGACATGGGTGGGGTGGCTACTGTAAGCCAAAAGCCTTGGGTAACTCAGGACCTTGTTCCCTAGGCAGGCACTGTGCCACTGAGCTAAATCCCTGGCCCCTCTTGGAAATTCTTATATATTTATATATCCTGTATTAAATCTGTTTCTCTGGTATATATCCCTTCACAACTGCTTTATTTTTTTTTTTGTGCTGGGGTTCAAACCCAGGGCTGTGTGTGTGCTGGCATGGACTATACTACTGAGCTATATACACATCACCCCAGCTGCTTCTTTTATTGCAAAATCAATAGAATATCGTAATCAACAGCTGGGCTAAAATCTTGTGATTTTAAAAAGGTTTGCTCAGATTATTGGTTCTTTCAAAACAGATTCTCTTATAAAAGTTTATGACTTCAGCACATTTTTTCCTAGGTTTATTAGTGGTATAAGCTATGTGAAGGCAAGGACTGTACTTTACTTGCTTTTACATTTACATTCTCTGCCCCATCACAAGTTAAATATGTAACTAGTATTGAAATTGAGTCAGGTTCTTGTACATTTGCTATGTAAAGATTTGGGAGAACTACTTTTATCTTCTGGATAATGGTTTCTTCAAAAATGAATGTAATACCATCTTAACCCATACTTTATAAAATGTATCAACAAACAAGAAAACCACTTGTTATTTGGGCTGCCATAAAAAAATACCAGACTGGGTGGCTTAAACAACAAAAATTTATTTTCTCATGGTTTTGGAAGTTGGGAAGTCTGAGATCAAGGTGACTGATTTTGGGTAAGGGCTTGTTTGCATAAGACTCTCTTTTTGGTGGAGAGAGACCACCTTCTGCTGTCTTAAAAATAAAAATTGTGGGCTGGTGATTTAGCTCAGCGGTTCAAGTGCAAGGACCCAAGTTCAAAACCCGATAACAACCCCTCCCCCAAAATCCTAATACAATTAGAACCTCATTTAACTTCAGTTATTTCCTAGTGGTCCATCTCTACGTATTTGGGGTTAGGGCTACAACACATGAATATTGCAGGGATACAATTCGGTCCACAGTAGACATGATAAAATATTCTATGTTATTTCAACTCTTAAAATAAATTCAAAGCCAGGCATGGTGGCTCATGCTTGTAATCCCAGCACTTGAAAGGCTGAGGCAAGAGGATTAGAGTTTGAGGCCAGCCTAGGCTACACAGTGAGTTCAAGGCCAGCCTGAACTAAAGGGATATCCTCTCAAAAAAAAAAAACCAAACCAAAAATAAAAAAGAATACATCCAAAACTCACTTGAATTATTTATTTTGGATGGTAAAAATGGAATGTAGACATAGACATGCTCATTTTCATGGTGTACTTGTGTCAGCAAACTTGAGGCTAGGAAGGGGCCATAGGTAATTTGTGCTTACCTTATTCTATACAAGGCTGGCCAACCACATGCATCCACTGGTATTCAAGTGAATTTTGAAGTCAAGGGCCAGGATTAAAGGGAAAATTAGATATAAAAATGCCTTAAACAAGACTACTGACCATGTATCACGTATTAGACAAGGTGGAAAAGTGTACATCGACACGGTTCCTGATTTAATGGTAGGGATACAGTTCAGATAGGAAAATACCGAAGAAAGGAACCTAAGACCCTTAGAAAGGAGCGAAGAGGGTTAAGAGGGCACCACTGGCAGCGGGTGAACAAATTCACTGACGCCCCAGCAGGTGGCTGGGCCGCGGAGAGGGCTAAAATCACTGTCGGGTGGGAACCACCAACATTGCAGCTGGAAGCCAAGTTCAAGCTACCCACGCACCAGGGCTCTCAGACTCAGCTTTTTTGGTTGTGTATCAAATACTGTCTTACATTTTTCTCCCAGTTCTCCATTTCCAAGGTCTTTTTGTTTTTCTTGGTCGCTCCCCGCCCCTAAGTATTAGCAGTTGGGAGGACCTTGTTTCGGTTCAGAAACCAGAAGGAAACCAGGACAATTTAGGACGCGGTAATTCTTTTTGTTGTTGTGAAGTCTCTCCGGCGGCGCTGAAAAGGGGGCTCAAACTGACCAGCCAGCCAGGGGAAGCCGGGAGCCAAAGCAACCACCACCAGGTTCAGCGTTCCTCACCCGCAACTCTTCCCTTACCTCTTCGCAGCCTCTGTTCATCTCACAGCCTTCACAGTGCTTGATTGACAGGCAGTCCACCCAATCCTGGTGTGGCGCAGATAACTGTCACGTCGGAGACTGAGCCTATCAGACTGGGCAGAGGCCGTGTTTCCTGCCCGTGGGGGCCCACCCTCTCGCCGCGCACGCTCCACCCCTCTCCCGAGAGCTACGCGGCGGAGGAGCGCAGGCCTCGTGCCGTAACGGCCATCCCGGCGTCCGCGGCGGCGTCCGGGTGTCCTCCTCAGGTGACTGGAGCCGCCTGGGCGCGGCATAGGGAAGGTGAGATGGCCTTGCTGGCTGGCAGACACATAGACAGCACTTTAGTCGCCCGTCCGTTAGCACAGCCGGTTAGCTCGTTGCGTCGCTTCCTCTTCTCGGCGAAGTTCGCCCCGTGAGCGCCGTCTGCCGGCGCCGAGCGGAGCCGGAGGGGGCGGGGA